TTTTTATATTTATAATAAATAGAAATTGCTTAAATATAAATTATATTTTATTTGAAAGAAAAAATTTATAAAGAATGATAAGAAAATAAAATAAAAATTTTATTATAATATATATATATATATATATATATATAATCAGATCATGTAGCAAATAATATAAATAATATAATTATAAATAAATTATATAATAATATATATTTTTGTAACTTTTACGTATTTTAATTTAATTATTAGTTAATTTATTAATTCATATATAATATATAAGTATATATTTTAATTTATTGTATGAGTAATATTTTCTATATTACATTAATGTTATAATGTAGTTAATTTTATATTTATTTATTAATTTAAAATAACAAATTAATGAAACAAATGAAATTAAATATTTTGTAATTATTTTTTTAATTTAATAATAATTATTATTGTCATTATATATATATATATATATATATATATGTATATATTGCATTAACTTTAAATTTATGTATTTTTTAAAATATAATAATTTTTTGTAATTGATTCAAGAAATTGTGTGAATGTTATTTTTTTTTATCAATTTTATGTGTTTAATGTAACTTTATTTGTTGAATATAAGATGTCTTTAAACAAACAAAATATGTTTCTAAAATAAAAGTAAAATATTTATTATTTATATAATTTTAAAAAATAAAGTAAGAAAAATATAAATATAAATTTTATTAATATAAAATATTTATAATTAATACTTAAATAATATTTTAAAAATTATTTATCAAATTAGATTAATATTATTATAATTATTTAATAATTATTAATAACAGATAAAAATTAGAAAAATATATAAGCTAATTTAATAATAAAATATTTATATTTTTATTAATATTTTTTTTGTAACAGACTTTGTTAACAGGCTTTAACCCAGGTTAGACCAGACCTAAAATAAAACTTTTAACAAATAACAGGTCAGGTTCAGGCCTAATAATTATATTACAGGTCAGGCCTGTTTAGAGTAAAGTCTGGCCTGTTTCCATCTCTACTCACGCAGAGATGAGACTAAATATAAATATTTTTTTAAAATACAAATACAAGAATAAATATTATATTACGCTATCTATTCTCTACTTGTTGTCATCTCTATTTTTAACTTTTGTTAATTTTAAATTTTGATGTATATTAGTTAATTTAGTTTTTAATGTAAAAAACTAAATTAAAGATATTGGTCAAAATTTTCAAACTAAACTAACTGATTTGATAGTATATAAAAATGACAGTGACTATTACTAAAGTCAATAACTAAATTTATATTAATATTGACTGGGTGTGTGTGTGTTTAATATAAAGTAATATTTTGGAATAGCTTCTAGAATAATAGGTATTTTTAGAGATTATAATTTTTTTCCCCCGAAAGCTGCGCATCCAGCAGATTGTTGAGCCCTTCAATATAAATATGTACATTTACTTTTTAAATTACGAAATTTTTATGTTAATATTTTAAATGTTAACTTTCAGAGTAAATATATTTTTGTTCAATATAAATATTGATTAAAAAAATAAAATCAAAAGCTAGAAAAACTATAAGAATACAAACATTTAAAGTGCATGCATACGTAGACGTACAAGCACAATGTTTTAATATTATTCAACAATTTAAATAAAACATAGTTTTTATTAATTTAACTGTTAAAATTATAAATACTTATTATCTTATTTAATTGTATCAAATTTTATAAATAATAATAAATATATTATATTTTAACTAAAGATTTTGTGATAAAATTACGTAATAAAATATACTCAATGATGCAAAAATTATTTTGACTTACATCAGCAAAAATAAATTTTGTTGTTGAGATTAGAGACGTGCTTTAAGAGAACTTGGACTTATGTTTGCTATCATAAGTTTATAGAGAGACCTTAAACTTGATTAGTCCAATACGATCACAAATAATTGTTATTGTTAGACATTGATTTAAGAGCATGGACTCAAGGTTGTCATCATAGGGGGCACATGCCTAACCTCTTTAATATTCTGATAACCCTTTGGAGTTTAAAGTCAAAATCAGCAGCTTGATTAGGATCTATGGATCCATGGAAGAACCCAATCAAAGTAAAAGTTCTTTTCTGCTGTTTACCCACTACTACTAGTTAAATTGATTAACCTAGGTTGACCGTTGACATCAAGGTTACTCTATACCAAGATATATGACAGATTAAACAAAGTATAAAGTTTATGTACAGTATTATTAGTGTGTTTAATTATATTGTTCTTTGATTATTAAGATTAAAATTTTATCTTGATAATGTATATTGATATTTTAATGTTAGCTTTTATTAATATTTAGATTGTTTAAGTAAAATTGAAATTAATAAACGAAAGGTACATTTTTTATATCATTCCTAAATTTTATACTTTTATAAATTAATGTACAAAAAAACTAGTTAAAATTAGAGTGAACTCATTTCAACAGCTTTACTTTAATGAATAAGGTAGATGTTCTGCTCTAAATTAAATATTGGAATCGAATTAAGGAGTGTTAAAAGAATTCTGACAAGACAATTCTTATTTGTTTCTCTCTGGTTTTTAATTTTTAATTTTTCTTAAAAAAAATTTAGAAAACTGTTTTTTAAAAAATTTATGTTAACAAACAACTTTTATGATTTTTTATTTTTAAAAAGAAAAAAATATTTTTAAAAACAGAAAACAAACCAGCTCTATTAGTAAGAAAAATTTAACATTTTTTTCTCGCTTAACACATCAAATTAGCACACGTCTTTTCTTTATTTATTTTTTGCCCGATCACATTTTACTTTTCATTAACTAGACATGAGAGAAAGGAAGTGAAATAAATAAAATTTTATTTAATCAAAAGTTGAATTAAGTATCATAACTACAACTGATCTGAGGGCATGACTATTTCCTAATTGATCACTTAACCCTAGCAATTAATGTGGTACTGTGTGACCTAAACCAAACAGTGATTTTCACTTGCTACTTGACCCTTGCCGACTGAATTTCACAGCGAAGAAAGCAAGAAAAAATTTGAATTTTCTTCTTTGTTAGTCTTATCAAGGTCCCAAGGAAGCATTATTAGCATGTTCATTAAAATTAATTCTATACGTCGTCAAAATTATCATGGCATGTCTTAAGCAGCTTCGTTAATGAATCCCGCGAGTAGTTAAATGTCCTTTGACATATTCATGGTCAATCCAATCTAGTAAACAAAGACAAACATTAAATAATTTACTATTTCTAAGCACATTTTTTTTTTTTTGTCATTAGTTTGTTCTTTAGGAAAACAAAACGGTAATACTAAATTGATTTTTTTTTAAATAATCAATGATAAAGAATATTGAAAGTGTGTTATTAACGTTTCTAATTTTTAATCCCAAAAAGTATACATTACTAATTTACTAATTAATTAAGTAGAACTAGAATACTACCAACACATTATTTTAATATATTTTAAGATTATTTATTTTTAAACAAATATTGATTTATGAAACAAATGTTTTAATATTTAAAAATTAATTAATCATAAAAGTAAAACATATTAAAAATAATGTCTCTAGCATGTCTATATTTAAGTACAAACGAGTGTAAGTTATGACACATTCAAAGGCCATGGGCCTAAGTATGGTTGCCAACTCTTTGAAACGCCATTCACAAAATTTATTATGATTGTCAAAGTAAAAATAGTTTGGGGTGGATTTGGTTTTCCATCACGAAATTGCTTGAACCAATTGTTTAGCATCGCCATTTATGATCATACATTATATTCATGGTCTGGATCCACGAAGGTCAGAGCGGTCACTTGATTAGCCAAGCACCAACTCGATCTTGACTCTTGAGTCCCCTTATATACGAAGATATCGATCATATTGATTCATTATGAACATATATTTAATATTTATCACACCAATCACAATAAATGAACTTACAGGCTTTGCCATTTGAAAGTTGTGCACACATAAAATTTCTTAATATAAATGAATTAATTTTATGAACAAGGTAAACGCACGTACACCACCTAGTAAACAACACAAATGGGTTATTGTCCACACAAAATCACCCCTTTTAATAACCATCCCACAAGATAAAGCAAACTCACATTAGGCACGTAATATCATATGAAACTTACTTATCTCTCTCTATCGATGAATTATTTAAGTAAAATTATTTAGTTCGTAAGAGAAATAATTATGAATAATAAGTATAATTATTATATATATATATATATATATATATATATATATATTTTAAAATAGTTAAGACTACAAATAATTGTGGTATCCAAATTTGTAAATTTAATATTCATAAAATGAGAAGTGTTTTTATTATATATGTTCTTCAACTATATATGTATGTGTGTGGTTAATAATAATAATAATAAAGAATCAAATGGTAACGTATCATACAATTAATTAATGAACTTATGGATAAGTAGTTGTCTAATTGAAAGAGAAAGGGGTGATTCAATGAGAAGGATGACAATCCACAACTATTCACAAGCATAGAGAGAAGGACACAATAGTAGTAATATATGTGAAAGCTTTGGGTTTTCTAGCTAGCTAGAGTCACCAGCTTAATGTAATTAACATTGATGGTGTTGGGGGTTTAATTAGAGGCTTTAAAAAGTGAGTAGATAATAGAGGGTTCCCAGTGCAGCCACATTGAATGCCCCCACGCGGTTTTGAGAGGCACAACAAAGAGAGAAGAGGCATTGCTCCAATGCTCATGAGCTGACTTTTGCCGTCTTACTCCTTAAGAGTTAATGCTTTTGCTGTCAACTTTTGACTATTTGGCTCTCTCTTTTGTTTCAGTCAGCGTCCCTTCACACACTCATCACAATCCCCTTTTTTTGCACTATTTATACACCCTTGCTTTTGACTCTTGCATTAGCATCTAGCAAGTAAGAGGAAAAGAAAACCACAAAGTGAAGAACTAGAGATCTAGGATATATATATATATATATATATATATATATATATATAGCTAACTATATAGGAAAGGTACAAAGGAAGATGGGAAGGCCACCATGTTGTGATAAAGAGGGTGTGAAGAAAGGACCTTGGACTCCAGAAGAAGATATCATATTGGTTTCTTATATACAAGAACATGGTCCTGGAAATTGGAAGGCTGTTCCCACCAATACAGGTTGGTTGGTTATAAATAAATCTTAAGCTTCTACCCTTTTATCTGAATTTGGTGATTTTGTGATGAAGTTGGATATTTAATTTCTTTGTCTTGTTTTTAATTTGGGGATATTATGTGATTCGTTCAGCCATGTGATCTGAAATAGTACTCTCTCTTGATTTTGGGTTTAATTTTCTTTCAGGGTTGTCAAGGTGCAGTAAGAGTTGTAGACTTAGATGGACTAATTACTTGAGGCCAGGAATCAAACGGGGTAACTTCACTGAGCAAGAAGAGAAGATGATAATCCATCTTCAAGCTCTTTTAGGGAACAGGTAAATTCATCTTATTATGGCTTCAAGCTCTCTTTGCCTTAAGGACCTAGTTACATGGAACTAATTAGTAGCAGATAAATATTTAATAACATATCTTAATATAAAATTTTACTACTTTTTATTTGTAAGTTCTTTGAGAAGGTAGCTAATTCCTTAATCCTTCCTTTGGGCTCACATGTTAGTTAAACTGAAGCACATTGATTACGATGCAGATGGGCAGCAATAGCTGCTTACCTACCACAGAGAACAGATAATGACATAAAGAACTACTGGAACACTTATTTGAAAAAGAAGCTGAAGAAATTGGAAGCAGGCTGTGAAGGAAGTTTTGGACATAAAGAGGTTTCAGTTTCTCAGCCAATGTCAAGAGGCCAGTGGGAAAGAAGGCTTCAAACAGATATCCACATGGCTAAGAAAGCACTTAGTGAAGCTCTCTCACCAAACAACACACCTGCCTTATTATTACCTGAACCAAATTCAAACCAATCTAATGATAACAGTGTCTCCTTCTATAATTCCACTAAACAAGCAACACAATCTATAAGCTATGCTTCAAGTGCTGATAACATAGCTCGTTTGTTGAAGGGATGGATGAAGAATGCACCAACAAAAGCCTCACGTGCTGCCTCAGCTGTGACTCAAAATTCCTTCAATAATAACTTGGCTGGTGCTGACACTGCTTCTAGTGAAGGAATAACAAGTGGGGTGGCAAAGGGAAGCACAATAAGCAATAGCGTTGAATTGACTGAGACTTTTGAGTCCTTGTTTGGTTACGAGTCTTTGGATTCTTCAAATTCTGAGTTCTCACAATCTCTCTCACCTGAGGCTACTCTTTTCCAAGATGAGAGCAAGCCAGATGCTACTGAAACTGATCAAATTCCCTTTTCTTTGCTTGAAAAATGGCTTTTGGATGATGCTAATTGTCAAGAAAAACTTTGCTTCTAGATCGGTTCAATTTGTAAGGAGTCATCTAAAACTTTGTTTTTCCTTAGTTATATGAGACCAAGTCTGATTCAATCTCTCACTTTGGTCTTCAACCCTTTTGGTGCTACCAAGTGTATATTCCAATCCATTATTAACAATTATTATATTATCATATCCTATAATTAGATGCCTAACTGGAAATGTTTGTTTCTCTTTGTGAAAAGTTCTGTGGTGTTTAGATTTTTCTTCTTCTTTCTTAGTTTGTTGTTTCGTTCTTTTAATATTTTTTTGAACGTGTTTGTAGAGATATCTAATAAAAATCTCAATATACTAGGATATTAATGTAAGTTATAAAATACTATAAAATTTAATATATTAATAATATTAAATATTACAATTTTAAATAAATATTTATTATTTATTATTTTTATTGTATGTCTTCATCATACGTTCAAAAAAATTCTTTTAGTTAAGAATTAAAAGTTTGATAGACTAATACTACCTAATTTTCGCATGACCCAGTCTATTCTAGTTTAAGCTATTTTTTGATCAGATGAAAATATATGTAATGATCAATGTTAGCTCCATGGCAAGAAAGAAGTATGTAATAATACAAATTTAGAGGTAGAATATTAATTTATTTTAATTTTAACGTACTGTAAATATAGATTTATTTATATTGTTAATTAATGAAATGTATTATAAATATATTTTATATATTAATTATTATAAAAATAAAAAATTAATATGATAATTTGTAATTAGATATAGTGTAAGAAAATATTTACACTGTATATTTAAATTAAATTTATATTAATTGACTAGATATTTAGTTTATGTACAATAATGTTCCATTACGTTTGTGTTTTGAATTTTATTTTAATAATTTATGTTAATTTTAAATATAATTGTAGCTTATTGAGAAAAAAATTAATTTTAATTTTAAAAATATTATAAATATCTTAATTTTAACGCCTATTACGATTTTAAGATTCAAATGTTGAATTTTTAAATCTTTATTAAATTATTTGTTTGTCATTAAAATATTTTAAATATCTTTTTTTATCTATAGAAGAGGTGCTTTGCTTTTTTTTTAGGTAGGATTATGTTTGAAGTAAGCTAAAAATTAAATTTAAAAAAAATGAAATGATGTTAAAATAAAAATATTGATAAATAAAATATTTTAATTATTTATTATTTTTTAAGTAACACATATGCTCTTTATTGAAATTTTATTTTTATAATAAAAAAATATTTAACATATATTAATTTAATTATTTATTTTTCAAATGTATTTTAGTTTTATAATAATTTTCTTTATTATTATTTACCTGTGCATTATACGAGAAATAAACAACGTATCTCAATAAGGAAGAATTTGTAGATTGATCAACTTCTTTTAAGAGTCTCATCTAATAAATTTTACACATAAGGATTGCTCTTTCTTAATTAGGACCATTTGTATATGTGTTTATATGAATGTAATTTGTAATACATCAACCGCATGTTCTGTTACTATATAACTTTGTGCAGTAGATCAATCATATAATTAAAATGTATTAAGTACTTTTTAAATAATGGTTATCGTATTCAAACTTTTTTAATAATTTAAACATATATAATTAAAAGATTGTAACAACAGTTACACTATCATCAATTAAAATTAAATATTTCATTATATTCAAGAATTATTTTACATAATCAACTAATTTTAACTTCTTTGATACTACTTGTTTTTATTTAAAAGAAATAACTTTATATATATATTTAAAAATTATAAGAAATAAAAATTTATTTTTAAATACATTAATATATATAAAAAAATTATACCCTCATTTCTGATGAGGTTTGTGTTGACAAAGTATTTATTATTTACCTTTATAAATAAACACATTCATTTATTTGATATACAAGATACCAATTAATAATATAAATATTTCTATAATATTGTATAAATTTACAACATGTAATTATTTTTTATTGATCTTTATGAATTAAATTATTTTATTTTATAAATAGGATGAGAGACAGTATTTTAAGAGAAAAATGTTGTCAGAGTATTCTATTATATACTTTTTAACACACTCTTTATTATCTCTTTATCTTATATTAATTTTCATTTAATACTAATGTATATATTAAAAAATAATTAATTTTATTAATTATTAATTTAAATCTTATTTATAAAAAATAAAGATCTAATTCACTAAATTTAATAAAAAATAGTTATATATTATATATTTATATTCAATTTTAAGAACAAACATACTATTATAATTAGTATCTTATAATTAAATATATCTATATATATAAATAAATAATTAAAGTGTGAGTATATTATTAACACAAATCATATAATAAATTAGGGTATAAAGGAATCTAACAAATAATGTATTTGAAAATTGGACCAAAACATATTAGTAATTATTTTTTATAAAATTTCTTAAGACACTATTAAAAGTATTGAAATTATTATAATAGCTAAATAATAATTAATTTTAAAGTTATTTTAATTGTTAATTGGCAAATAAAATTTATGTGACAAATAATTTGAGATGATAAAAAAATATTTAAGTGACAACTAATATGAGATGAAAGAAGTATTAATTAAAATTTATTTACAAAAAATTATGTAACTTTACTTCTAATTTAATAAATTATATTAATAATTTTATAATTTTATAATTTTTAATTAATAATAGTGTGAAAAAAAATTTCAAAAAGTGTTGTTAGTATGATATTTTTAAAAATAAACATAACTAATAATTATTTATTATAGGTTTTTTATTTTACATTAAATATATGTATAAAATTATTTTTTCATGAAAAATATATTTTTAACTTTACTAATACACGTGCTTAAAGGCATTCATGTTTCAAAACCCTTCACCGATATATTTGTTTTTGTCAATGTGGAGTGCTGGAAAACTGAGTGTCTAATCGAAAATCACTCATTTATAAAAAAGAAAAGAAAAATTTCTTGTAAAATGTTAAAAATTAATAAAATAAAATAATATTACACAAATATTCTTCATGTAACACTATCATCCTATTCAAGAAAGCTTAAAAAATATATTTTCTAGTAATATATTTTAAAATAATATTATTTTAGTAATTTATTTTTAAAAGTGTACTTATTTATTTATTCAATGATAGGGAGAAGCAGTGATAACTAATAAGAATAGAAAATTTAATGTTGTTTGCTAACAAGATAAACATAAAAAGATGTAAAATTGCATATATAGATAGAATCGCAAAACAAGAGATTCAGAATAAATTTTGGTTATTAAATTGAGATAAATAATCTCCATTCTCACATTATATATATTTTCTTTAATAATTTCTGATCCACTCATTTATGTGGATAGCAATGGTAAGAACTGAAAGGCCATAAATGGTGATGTGGTCAATTTTTGTTTTCAAATTGTGAAATTTTATAGTTTTATTCTGACACTACAAAGGAACATATCCATGCTGTAAAGGAATAGAGAAAAGCTTAAGCCCCCTTCTCACAACTCTTATACCATCGTGGGCAAGAGAATAGAAATTGAATCTGTCTTTCTTACAAGTATGGGACCATTTTTTTACTATATATATATAGTAATATTAAACCTTCTTCCCAACCCTACATTCCTACACCTATGACTCTATGATGCAATGCTATAGGATTTGGGAAAAAGAGCTTTTAGGTCAAATATTAACCTCGACCACAAGATAAACAATTATTAATAAGAAAATATTATTTTTAAAAATATTTATTGTATTTTTAAATTTTAATATAATAAAAGTATATTTTTATAAAAATTATTTACAAAAATTTAAAAGTACAATTAATAAAACTCAAGTTATGTAAATTCTCTTTACATATAATTTATTTTTAAAAAACTAAAAAATAATTTCAATTAGAGATAATTATATTTAAATTGAATAATATTTTTAAATAATAAAATATTTTATTATATTTTAATATGATTCAAAGGATACACATATATTACAATATTCTATATATATATATATATATATATATATATATATATATTATAAAGAGTGAATTAAATGTTTGAAAAAGAAAAGTATTATATCATAAGAAAGGGTTGATCATCTTTTTCAAAATGCCAGCAGGAGCTAAGTTCCTAACGACAGAATCATGTGCCTCCAAAACATGACCTTCTGAGCCCAACTCATTGTGCATTTAGTGCACCATGTGGATACATAACACTGCTTTGACAGCTTGCATTGCCATACACGTAACCAGAAGAAAAAGACACACACATATATATAATACATAATTATATGGAAAATTGTTCCACATAAATTCTGTGGGTACAAGGATTACAAGAAACTAGCATATTTAATCTTGTAATTACTCCATTTCAATTAATTGCTTAGGTAACCGCAATTGTGCACCTATTTTCACAATTTTAAAGGTTTTCAGCTTACAATAGAGTGCTTTGGTTTTGCTTTTCTCATTCCTTGATGCATGCATGCATGAACAAATACACCCAAGGTTATATGTAAAATCATCTACAAATCTTCGTTAATTAGTTTACACATTTCAGGAGACGTGTGCTTTGATATGGTGTTACTGCTGCTATATTAATCTTCTTAAATGATTTTATTATATTTTATTTCACCCACTTGACGAGAGAGTTACTATTCACACCACCTATTTTTACTATTAACACTTACTTTAACAATTGCACCTCTTTTTGGTGATAAATGTTTGTCCTGCAAATAAAATGACACTACATTCGTTCCATAATTTTCATTTTCTTTACATGTTAGAAAATGTGAACTCTCAACCCGATTCACTCTTTGAAAGACTATCAAATTTATGAAGTCGTTATCTAGTTATAATAAAAAAAGAATTGGTTTAAAATTGTCCACAAATCAGTCTTATTTCACTCCTTCAAGACAATGGAGCATGGCATCATCGCTCTTTCTCATAAAACTTTAGAAATTGATTGATTTACCTTTAATGAAAATTTGGTCACACTTTGTTCTACTTATTATTCTAGATTGAGATTTTAAATGCAAAGAAGAAATATAATTGAAACAAAAGAATATTATATAGAAGATACGAATATTGGAGGTGATTACAAGTAGAAAAATGACGTGTAATTGAAAAAATATTTTAAAATTTAAAGATATTTTTAAAAATTGAATTTAAAATAAATAAAGGAAGTAGTATAAGATATTTTCTTAAAAAAAAAAAACAGAGCAAAAAGTATCTTCCCCA